TTTATGTTAAAGAGGGATATTTTGGTCAAAATAAAAATTTAAAAGTCAAACTTAACGATCAACTAACAGTTGGATGGATGGAAATTGAATCTTAAAAATATAAGGAAGATTTGTGTAATATACATTTTAATTTGAAAGGAAGTTAATATATATATATATATATGTTTTCAAAATAGAAAGGAAGTTTCTGTAATTTAAGTAAAATGAAGGGCTAGTCAATGTATTTTACTCAAAAATCCATTTAGGATGCTAAATGCTAAATCCATTTAGGGCTAGTCAATGTATTTTACTCAATCTCGCAAGTAAATATCTTATTGGAGATTCTTTGTTATGTTGATTCTTAAATTAATTTTTGCTAGGAAAAATTGAATATTAGAAAATGAAACGTCAAAAAGAGTCTGCTAGATGGTCTAGCTATGTGACAATAAATTTATATCAGTTGGATTTGTATTATTCAGTAGTTGGTGACTTCTTATGTGGCACTCTGTTTAGTTTTTAGATTATTAAAGAGTTTAGACTAACTTGTCTCATTCATTTACATTCACCTGATCTCATTTGTTCTTTCTTGTATTTATGTTCAATCTTGGATGATGCGTATGTACTAGCAGCAGTTTCAATCATTTCTTCAACCTGCCTCTACTGTTCAGGCTTCTCATCAAACATCTTTAAGTTCATCTATCTGTCGAACAGGTAAATATACACTTGAAGATTCTTTGCTATATTGTTTTTTGAAATAGGAAAAATTAATTTAACGGTCCTTGTAGTTTCATTAAATTTCGAATAAGATCCTTCTAGTTATTTCTCTTTTTGTCGAATCCTTATTGTTTACGCTCAATAATGCCAATCATTACATTTAAAAAGCCGTTAGTTTAAGTTGACACTATCGTCCTCAATCAGCCGCAACACTTGCTCCCATGGCTTCTCTCTTTCCTTTCTCACTGTTCATGTTCTCTCTCCCCATCATCATCGTCTTTATCTCCTCTTCCAAACCTTCGCGCTGTGTTTAAGGGTTGTCCTCTGCTTCATTGTTATTGTTAAGGATGCTGCCTGTTCTCTGTCCTTAAGAATTTGTCCTGGCTCATCCAAGTTTGATGTTTCATAACCTTCCTTCCTTTGTTCCACAATTAAAAATCTGGATATATATATATATATGTATATGTTCTCACAAAGTTCTTTTCCTTTCCTCCCAAGTTTAAACACTGAACAGTATAAACTCATAGGAATTGATGTAACCATTCAGAATGCTGTTTCTTAACTTTCATATTTTGACAAGAATTATGTCTAATCATTTTAATCTTATAGATTAATTTTCAGTTTCAACAGATTCGATGGTAAATTTCATAATATTATTTTTTCATCTTACGTCTCCTTAAGGGTTCGTCTGATATGAGCGAAATGGAAGAAAGGGGAGGGGAGAAAAAATTTTATATAGATATATAAAATATATACTTCTTTTTGCATGGAATATTAGAATACGTGTTTTACAAAATTATACTATATACAGCTTGAGTTAACTTGAGATATTTATTGGTTTTTTAATATGCCTTTGATCATTATTTAAACTCCAAATTTAAATTATTAAACGATGAATAATTATATTATGAAGTTTTACACACCTCTTTAGTCAGGGAATATTTACTATATCATGTTAAGGGCTTATGACTTGAAAATTTAAGTTCTCGAGTAAATTTTTTTGAATATTTTTTTCCTTAAGTAAATATTTATAAATTTTTTTATAATAATATCTAACATAGACACGCACACATATATGTTTTACATTTTGAAATGGTACCCTGCCTAATGAAAAGATTTAAAATAACTACTTTTTCAATTCTTCTTAAAAACATATAGAAATGATAATTATAAAAATTAAATAAATTGTTCCCTCAGTCTCCCCATTTAATTTTAGGGTCTCTATTTTTTGGCCAAAAAAAAAAAGTGGAACAACTACTCATCGTTCACATTCTTATGTCATTCATTGCCTTCTTTCATGAACTCATCAAGGCGTCTTGCAGGTAAATATTGTCTTTGAAGAACCGTTGATTCTTTAATTAATTTTTACTGGGAAAAAATTGTGAATATTAGAAAATTAAACATAAAAAACAATCTGTTAGATGTTCTCACTTTGTGACTGTAAATTCATATTAATTGGATTTGTTTGTGTTCAATCTGTGACAGTGACAGTATAATCATGCAGAATGCTGTTTCTTAACTTTCATATTTTGACAAGATCGAAGAAGTATGTCTAATCATTTGGATCTTATAGATTAATCATATCAAAACATAACAACAAAAATAAAATAAATACCATCTTCTGATCACCTTCCTTGTTGTTCACTGGCTCCTGAAATATTTTCAAACAAATTATATTTTTTATTGGCTTTGAAATTAATTTCATCAATTATTATAATATTAAAATATTAAACATCAAATCTGTTAGGCGCTTTTGTCATATTATAATGAATTTATATTAACTGAATATTTATTCTTGAAAGAATTTATTTTTTCTGCATTTCATAAAAAGTTTGGTCAGTGAACTTTATTTTTTTCCTCCTTTTGGTTCCTCAATAATTACAATAATGTCAGGCCAAAAAAAAATAATTGCAATAATGAATTTTAACACTTAAATTTTTTTTAAAAAATTTAATATATCATGTATTTGTACCAATTGCATGAATTGTTATTTGTTACTTTTGTGCAGCTGGACATCCCTTAATTTGAATTAAGAGTTACTCGAGAGGTCATTTCTGCAGTATTCGTGTAACTGTATTATCATATTTGAGGTAAGTAACAAATATCATAATAACCCATTTAGTCACTTATTTTATTTATATTTTATTTTTCTTATTATTTGTCATGAATATAGTAAGGGAATAATATCTCAATCAACAAATTAATTGATATCTTGATAAAGATAAGGATTAAAAAACTGGACCAATCATTAAAATGATTGAAGCAGTGGGTTAGATCAGAGTCTAACCAGAATCAGATCAGTCATATCAAAATAATATAATTTAATTAACAATAACAAAATATAACAACATTTATAAACAATAATCACTCAATAAAATATAAAAAACTATAAAAATATTTTAAATGTTTGATTTTTTTCCCCAACAGTTTAAATCTTTAATTGTAGCAATCAAAATTATTAAAATACATATCTACTTTAAATGTTTGATATTTTTAGGTGTTTGAGACAAAAATCTGCACTTCATTAAAATACATCTTTTTTCTCATTGTTTTTCTACTCTTTTTTCTCTCTCCCACGTGACTGCTCCCCATTTTCCTCTCCATGACACGCATCTTGAGCAGCTTTCCTCTTTCTTCCCTGAACAACGAACAACCAGCAAGCACAGTAAAATAGCAAACCTGGAACCTGCTTCACAGTTCTTTATTACTCTTTCTCAGCTAAATTGCTTTTGGCTTCCTCATTTCTCTTTCATTTGTCCATACTTCATCCATCTCATTACCTCTATCATCTTCGTTCTTACCTTCTAATCTTCTAGTTTCTCCTCTCTCTCTCTCTCTCTCTCAGTTTCTACAGCTTCAACAACAAATAAGTCCCCCTGATGAAGCCTTGAATGTTGAATCATCCTTTATCTTTCTTCCATGCGTTTTAGTTTCCACGCTAAAATGCATCTTCACTTCATTTTCTGGCATGTTCAGGAACTCTCTCATAGTAAGGTTTGTTTTCTCTCTCTATTTTTCCTCTTCCTCTTCCTTCTTTTCTCGGTAAATCTTCTCCTTTCCCACAGTTTATGCATTTTTAGGACGCAAAAAAGTTTAAACCGGATAACCCATCCCAGTTGGTGGTTACCTGGTTAAACCAGTTTGTCACCGGGTCCAACAAGAAAACCTAAGTAGTTTGCCAGTTTTCTTATCGAACCGGTTGGCCAAGTCCCTTTTTTTTTTTTTTTACCTAAAGTAAAGAATAATCTAAAAACTCTTAGTTTTATTGTGATGTTTCCACTTTTTCTATTGGGTTTGAGACTTTGGGTTTCGTTATTAATTTAATATGTATTATGGGTCTTTAATTAGATATTTATATCAATTGAACCAAAAAAAAACAGCGGTATAAATATTTAATTATTAGCTGATAGATTTTTTTAGTGTATTTTCAGAAGAAAACCAAATCATCATCCTTCCACGAATCATCGATTCATATTAAAAGTTGTAAATACAAAATATTTTGAATATATCTATGTTTAATTTTTTTTCTTTGGAACCTCTGGGTAATTTTTCCAACTTTTGATTTGAAGTTTGGTGAAAGAGCACTATAGAAAAAATTACAAATTTGTTTGATTCGTTCTTCTGAACTTTACAATAATAAATTTAGGAGAATGAATATTTGTAGAAATTGAACTCTAAATTTTAAGATCCATAATGCCATAGGCTTAATTACGTGAATCGTTAGTTTGCTTCTTTATTGATTCCAGGCTCGCTTCGGTGGAACATTTTCCTTTCCAGACTAATTTGACTGTACAGTTTGAGCTAATTAACTTAATAAATGCTTTATATATATATTTTTATTTTTTTTCATTTTAGTTGTTTGCTACATCTTATGATTTTTTTTGCTTAAATAATTTCTATAACTATGTGAAGTTACAATACTCTGGGGCCTATGTTATACTTTCTGATGCTCCATATTTGGGAAATCGCAGGAAATATTTTCAATTTTTGTTTAAGAAAAAATTCTCCATTTTTAGAGAGTATTTATTAATCATTAATTTACAATGCTGTCTATAATATCTTCTGGTATGGTATAACTTGAGAATTCCTGTTTTTTCTTGTACTCTCTTATAGTTAATTAGTTTCAGTTATCGTCTTTCTGCATTGTTAATTTTCATGTCATTATTTAGATTTTATATTAGTTGGCAGCGAAAGTATATAACAGCAGAATGAACTCTTTTTACTTGATTTTGTATTTATAATATGAGAGATTATTAGTACTAAAGCAACATTAAGTAAGTATATGTGATTGCGTTTTATTGCATCAGATGGCGGAGATTGTGATATCAATCGGGTCAAGGCTTGCAGAATATTTGGTGGCTCCAATTTCAAAAGGAGCTACTTATTTGTTCTGTTTCAAGCAGTTCATTGGAGGTGTTGAGAAAGCAAAACAAGAGCTGGAGGAGAAACTAGAAGACGTGAAAAAGCGCAAGGAAGAAGCTGATCGAAAAACTGAAGAAATAATGCCATCCGTGAAGAAGTGGTTGGACGATGTGAATGCAATCCTAGAAGAGGTGCAAAAGCTGCAACAAGAGCTTGAAGGAGGACGAAACAAGTGTTTTAATGTGTCGCTCAGATATTCTTTAGCAAAACAAATGGAAAATAAGGCTAAGCAAATGACAGATCTCAAACAAAATTCCAGCTTTGAGCCATTTTCCCAACTGATCCAACTTCCTGGCATTACTTACTTCTCTTCCAAAGAGTTTATGGCTTTCAACTCAAGGATATCAACTTATAATCGTCTTTTGGAGGCAATTATAAATGGCAAAAACAAGATGGTGGGACTGTATGGTATGGCGGGCTCAGGCAAAACCACTTTGGCAACGGAAGTGGGCAAGAAAGTGGCTGAATTGAAGCTTTTTGACAAGGTCATCAGGGTAGTTGTTTCTAAACCCCCAAATATTCTGAACATTCAGCAGGAAATAGCGGGGCAAATAGGCTTGCCACTTCAAGAGGCAACTCAGCCTACTAAAGCACAAAGGCTATCAGAAGGATTGAAAAATAAGAAGATTCTTATAATCCTGGATGATGTGTGGAAGCATCTAAACCTTGAAGATATTGGCATTCCACTTGTTGAAGGTTGTCATATCTTGTTAACAACTCGCCTTCGAGATGTATGTGTCTCTATGGATTGTGAGCCTATGATTGAACTACCTTTGATAACTAAGGGGGAGGCATGGGACTTATTCAAGAAGCATGTAAACCTAGGCAACGATCCCTCAAATATGTTTGGTGATGTGGGAGGGAAAATTGTTGATGAGTGCAAGGGGTTGCCAATTGCAATTGTAGCAGTTGGAACATCTTTAAAGGGAAAACATATTGAAGTATGGGAATCAGCATTATGGAGACTAAAACACTTCCAACCGTTGAATGTTGGACAAGGTCTTGCGAGTGCTTATGCATGCCTCAAATTGAGTTATGATAGTTTGCCAAGTTCCACAGCCAAGTCGCTTCTCTTATTATGCTCTATGTTCCCTGAAGATCATGAAATTCACAAAGAAGATTTAATTCGATTTGGCATGAGGACACTTGAGCCGGAGGAGTCTATTTTCACAATAGAGGGTGCAAGGAGAGTGATTTTTGATGCTCTTGAGATATTGTTGGATTCTTGTTTGTTAATGAGTATAGAGAAGGAAGCATGTGTAAAAATGCACGACTTAGTTCGAGATGTAGCCTTGTGGATTGCAAAGAAGCAAGGTCAGGAGATTTTGGTGGACAGCAGTGAAGTTTCAAACATTTTGCTTGGCAATCGCCAAAATTTGAAAGATACAAAAGCACTGTCATTGTGGAATCTGGATGCGGATTTCAATCTCTCGGATCAATTGCATTGTTCAACACTAGGGATTTTGCTACTTCAACCTGATGGGTTTATTGAAGATCTGGGAGCAATAAAAGCACTCAAAGTCTTGGCACTCATAGAATATGGCTTTGAATGGGGATTTAGGAAGGGATCATCTGTTTGTTCAATCCCACAATCAATTGTGTCTTTAACATATCTTCACACCTTATGTATTAGAGGGAAAAAGTTGGGTGATATCTCTCTACTGGGTGAACTCAAAACACTGGAGATTCTTGACTTACGTGGTTCTCTATTTGATGAATTGCCTGTTGGAATTGTAGATATGAAAATGTTGAAACTTTTGGACATATATGATTGTCGAATTGAGAAAAGTCCTATAGAAGTAATTGGTAGATGTGAGCAGCTTGAAGAATTATATTTTTTGGAACACAAATCTGTCATCCCACATAATTTCTCTCTTTCAAGATTGAAGAGGTATGTTCTCTATGACTCCACATGTAGTATATATTCGTATACATGAATATGACCCTTTTCTAGAATATCTGCATCGTCGTGGTGAAGACCCTTTTCAAGAATATCTGGATAGTTGTGGTGAAGCATTAAGAGCCTTATGCATACAAGGCTTTAGAGTCTCTGCTTTGAATTCATCAATGAAAAATCTCATTCTTAGAGCAAATCACCTTTGGCTGGAAAATTGTGAATGGGATTATAAAGATATAAATTTTCAAATAAACCACTTAGGGGTATCATGTTGTCAAGAGAAAAATTCATCATTGAGAAGCGTGATGTGAACATTCTTCAAACACAAGTATTCTCACGCTTGAGCACTTTAAGACTGTTTGAAATGAATAGTCTTGAACAAGTGTTTCAAGATTCATCTATTGGCTGCTCTCTCCCAATGTTACAAGAGCTATGGATACGGAGTTGTCCTGAATTGAGAATTTGTATCTTCTCGCATGCCACCATTACGAGCCTGCCAAAGCTGAGAAAACTTCATATTGATAGCTGTGACAAAGTGAAATGGCTATTGTCTTATTCCCTGGCTTCTTATTGTCCTTTACTGGAGGAAATAATTATACGCAATTGCTCTCAATTTGAGAAGCTCATTGATGAAGAAGCTGCACATGGGGATCCACTACTTCATGATAAGCAATATTATCCATATGTAAGTATTATTTGCAAAATTCCTTTTAAATCACTGCGTATTAGAAATAATAGTCCGTGTTGACACATTCGATTAAAAATATTTATCTTTTCATTTAATTTTTAAACTGAATTTTTTTTGGCTTTTCTCTTTGGATACACATAAATTTGATATCCTTTTCTCAGTTATGTGAAATCAATGCCTGTTTATTTTAACTCCTGTGCTGAAAACAAAACTAGGATCATGCAACTGCTAATAATTTCAGTTGTAGGTGATTTTTTCTTTTTGCTCACCCTACCTTTTTTTTTTCCGAGAACAAATTGAAGATATTCCTTTTCTTCGTTTAATTTGAAAAATCTGTGCTTATGATCGAACAATATATATAAGCATAAAAAATATATATTCTCAATAACCAACAATAGTCATGTTATTTTTCTTTTTGTTTATTCTACCTCTACTTTCTTTTTAATTTAAAGATATATTTATGTTTTAAAAATATTCTTAGAAAGAGATGATAGTCATTTTATTTTTTACTTGAGTTCATTGTAACCATATAAGCCTCTTTTCATTATGAAGTTTTATGAGTTCCTTATTTAGGCTACACGATAAAACTACTTTTTGGGTTTTTCTGTATTTTCAAGGTAATAAAATACTATTGCTTCTTCAAGCTTTATATTTTTCATATTAATTCTTATTAATTGTCTTTTGGCATCAAGTATTTATCGTGGGAAGTACTTATTCAAAGTTGTTCTATGTATAATAAATTGGCATTGATGCATTTTCCATATGTAAAATGTTCTTTCTTTCTTTGTTTGGATTTTTCTGCCATGCTTTTTTGTGGATGTGAAAAAACACTTTTTGACGGTGCCTCTCTTGGTCTTAAACAATTGTATGTTTATATTTCAATTTTTGGTCAAATAAATCTCTGTGTTGGTCAAGCAATATATAATATGTCTACTTTTATATATATATATATATATATCATTAATTAAATGTTATAACAGAGGTTGAATGTAATCATGTAGCAAAAAATATATAGAATATTCGTTTGTTAGACATGTTCAGAGTATGTTAGTTATCACCATTTAAAAAATACGTGAAATCAATTTCAAAATGAAAGTCAAGTGTTGTTTGTTATCATAAAAGAGGTTTGCAAGTCACAATTTCTATCACCATCTATATATTAATTGTGGAAAGTAATTAAAGAAGCTAATATATTATAAATTAGTGTCGTTTCTTTCTTTATTTAAAGGCCTTTAACTATATAACAATGTTTGTATCATGAAATTCTATATCTTTGTACTGCTGCTGGTTCTCAGTATGAAATTTAGTTTGCATGAAATGAAATGATATAGGATACATACATGATCATACATTGTTGGAGAATTTTGCATAATGGATATAAGAACTTGACATAAATATTGTTGTTTAACATTTATGTTACATACTAAAGATTAAAAGGGAAGATTAAGGACTGAGTAGCAATAATAAATAAAAGTCCGGTGCCAAATTTTATATTAAATTAAAACTATAGGGACTAAAAGATTAATTTTTTAGATTTAAATACTAATTATGTTTTGTAACCATAATACGCTACAACTTATATTTTTCTTTTTCTTTTTCGAGTATTACAAGAATTATTTACAAATTGTCTTTGTTAATTTTTTTTTTCTTTTTCGAGTATTACAAAAATTATTTACAAATTGTCTTTGTTATTTCTTTCAACACACGAATCTGATAAAAGCTTTAAAATGTTTTGTTCATTTTGATTTATTATCAAAAAATTGATCTCATTCTTCCGAACAGCACTTTAAATTCTTTGTTTTATATTTTTGTCAATAAAATAATTATTTAGGATACCACACTTTAAGATAAATGTTTTTCTTAAATTTTCTTTTGATATTTAAAAAGATCTCTCTTACCGTGCCTCTTTTACTGCTATTAAAATTTTTATATTTTCATTTCAAGTTTTGGTAATAAAAAAAGTCCTGATTGTTACTATATATATTTGCCCAGTTGTTAAAAAGGATTATTTACTAGCAATAGTTGGCAATAATTAATATATAATATAAGAAACTTACTGGGTTTAATCTCCAGTCTAGTTAGAGTAAAAAGCAAGTTGTTTTTGCACAGCCATGCGCGATCGTGGGGGCTTGATGTAAGGTTGCTTTTGTTATTTAAAAAAAAAAAAGCAAGTTGTTGTAATCAGTCCATTTCATAATTTTAATTTTAATACATTTACAGGGAAAGGAAACTGACAGTGCTTATGTGGGCGTTACAGCAAAAAGATTCAATCAGTTGCAAAATGAGCAATCCTTGATCCTTTTTCTCAGGTTGAAAAGTCTACAAATTAAAAGGAGCGGAAAAAAGAAAGGTATATTGGAAATCCAAGTCAGAGGAAGAGTAGAAGATGATGAAGAATCTATTAAAGCCCAAGAACCTCTAAAGCTGGATTCAGAGATGAGTGAATTAAAATTAGATGATCTACCAGAATTGGAATATATTTGGAAGGGCCCCACCCAAATTGTGAGCCTCCGTAGACTTGAAAATGTTTTGTTGTGGAACTGCCCAAAATTAAAAAGTATCTTCACTCTAGCTATTGTTGCAAGCCTTCCAGAGTTGAGAACACTTGAAGTATATTATTGCGGGGAATGGGAGGGAATATTTTGTGAAGAATCACTCAAAAACCTCTCTTCTTCTAATATTTGCTTCCCCAAACTTACGAAGATTTTGATAGGCAGTTGCAACAGAGTGAGATGGTTGTTATCTTATTCTCTGGCATCTCATTGTCCTTCGCTAGAGTTTATATTCATAGCCAATTGCTCTGAATTAGAGGGGCTATTGGTGAAGAAGCTGCACATGGGGATCCACTACTTCATGATATGCAAGATCATCCACAGGTCAGTCTCATCCGCAATGTCTCTCTCTCTCTTTTTTTTTTTACCAGCAAATCCGCAATGTCTCTCTTGAATCATTGCATATTAGAAATAATAATAATCCATATATATATATGTTGACGCATTTGCTAAAGTAGCCATGTTCAATTTACATCTCCCTTTTATTTGAAAATTTTTTGTTTGCTATCGTATAATATATATTTGTATAATCATTAAACATAACTTCTACAGTAATTATTTTATTTTTGACTTCACTTTATTATACCTGTATAAACCTCTTTTTATTATTAAATTTTCTTGGCTATATATTCAGGCTGCACGATGAAACTATTTTCTGAGTTTTCCTTATTTTCATAATAATAAAATATTATTTCCTTTTTCTTTTTTTCAAATAACAACTTTTATTTGTCAGATGCAGTAACATTTTACATTTTCGTATTCATTGTGGGAAGTGCTTCTTCAAAGTTATTTTTATTCAAAAATAAATTAGTGTTGATGCATTATATAAAAACTACACATACTTTAAGAGAAATATTTTTCCCTTTCAAATTTTTTTTGCCATGCTTTTCTTTTCTTTTTGATGTGAGAAAATTCCTTTTTGTGGCTCTTTCTTTTTCTGCTAAAAATTAAGTTAACATTAGTATTTTTGTTCAAATAATTCTTGTCGGTCAAGAAATATTTAATATCTGTCCTTCTTGTTAAAAAAAGATATATATATATATGTTATTTATTAAATGTGATATAGTTGTTATAATAGAGAATTAACATAATTATGTAGTAAAAAGTATATACAACATTTGCCAGTCACACATTTTCCATGTTACTATAAAAATTGATTGAGTCTGGTAAAACGCATGTTGAGATTATGTTAACACAATTTTAAAAGTACATTATTTTTATTTTGCCATTAAATGATCAATTCGGAAAATACTTATAATGGCCAGCATAATATAAATTAGTGTCTAGAGAAGTTCTCACTAGAGATTTCAAACATTTTGATAAAATTTTTCTTTCGCTCACCTACCTCTTTTTCATAGAATTTCTATTTAGCATTTACATTATAATACTAAAGATTAAACTGCTCAAATTTTTCTTTTTCTTTTTTCAGTACTACAAAATATTATTTGCAAGCTGCATTTTTTTAATTTATCTTTCCACATATGAATTTGATAAAAAATTTAATCTCTTTAGTTCATTTTAATTTTTTTGTCAAATAATTAATTTTATTTTTCCAAACAACATTTTTTATTTTTTATTTTTTATTTGTCAAGCAAATAATTATATGGAATTGTATTTCATTTAGAATAAGTTGGAGCTGATATAATATCTACAAATTATGTATATATACACAATATTTGTTAAATTTTCTGTGGACGCTAAAAAGGTCTTTGTCAGTGTGCATCTTTTATTGCTATTAAAATTTGTATGTTTTCCTTTCAGCTTTTGTACGAAACTAACTAGCATGCTTTAATCTCTCAG